CCAAAATGTAGGTATTGAATGGGCAGCTGGGGAAAAGCTGTGCGCTTTGGAGTACGCTGACGACATCGTTTTCTTGTTCAAATGTGTGAAGGATGCACGAAGAGCACTTGACAGGTAAACTAGTTCTGTCACCCTTTTCGGCATGCGCTTTGCACCTTCAAAGTGCAAAGTGATGCCGTGTGCTCTGAAACTAGACGGTCAGGAATTGGTTGTGGTTGTCTGCTTCGTGGGTAGCTGCGTGACCAACGACGGTAGTGTATCAAAGTAGAGGACCCCAGGAATTCCAAGGTTCGAGCAGGGTACGCAGGACTTAAGCACCTGTGGCGGCGGCATAACGTTTCACTGAGGTTGAAAAGTCGCGTATACTGTTCTACTGTACGATTAATTCTGCTTTACGGTTGTGAGACCTTGAATTCGCTTGTGGAAGACGCCTGTCGTTTGGTAGTGTTCGACAATTGATGCTTACGTGGTCTGGCCGAGGTTGGTTGGAGTGAGCGATTTAGTAACTTAGAAGTTAGTCGTCGGGTGTTTGGGAATTCATCAAACAAGAACTCGAATCCATTGACTCCGGTGACATGAACGTTTGGAAGCCATTGACAGTTCGTCTAGCTCATGCTAATATATTGGGCTGCTCAGTTTATCTACACGCTATTCAGCGCCTCACTTCTTCGACGACTGAATATATCCCATCGTATCAATCGGATAACCAGTATTTTGCAAGGGCCCCTTCAGGATTCGGGTTATGCACGGATTAGGGCAAGGTAAATCACTTTCACTTGATTGATCCTCTCTAGAACATTACGATTCGTTTCAGGAGTGGTCATCGCACTACACTGATGATAAGCTGAGATTATCGGTAATGAGCTAGTTAGGGCAGACAACCGATAGCAGTGCATGCAGAGAATGAAAGGATGCTATGCATACCAAAATGATATGCCCCACATCACCGAGTTGCATCGAAGTATAGGGATTGTTGTAGTTCATGTCAAAACCGTGTTTTCATTGATTCCGAGGATTATTTTATGTTTTCAGTTTATCATTACAGATGGAAGACATATGACAACGCGTTCACATTTTGTTTCCTCTTCTCAATCGCTTACATAAATTCTACATTTCTCGCTGTACTGTACTGGCCTGTTAGATTCATCAAAACTGTTCCACGGATATTGTTCATGATGCTCTTCTGTTGCCGTTATTTAAGTGGAGCAAGACAACACCGAGACAATAACATCTCATAATATTCCGTTGTTTAGGCGAGTCCGGGCACACGTCTGTATCCTGCTGTCGGTTTACAAGGCCATGGAACACGTCTGAGCACGAATTTTGGACAGCGCCCATTCAGCTACGCTTTCGAGGCACACATCAAACGGGAACGGGCTCTGCATGAGAAACAGCTGATTGATCGCGTTTGTAAAGAGGAATTTGCTGGACCGAAAATGCGCGAGTACGCTTTGTTGAATGTGAATTCTATCGCTCACCCTCCCCTTTTTGATTTAATATACGAATGTCCATTTGGGAGAGAGCTTTAATCAATCTCGGATGAACTTAACCTGGGAAGTAGTTTTGGGACAAGAAAACAACCTTCAGGCTTATGAGCTGTGGATTGTTTATCATTGTTATCGTATCAATTTTTGTGACCGAAATCAATAGAAACGAATCGCCGTCCCTTATTTAGAGTTGAACGAGAATCAGGTCACACAATAAACATCAACTACAGTTAAATATTGATTCTCAGGTACGCGGTCTATCAAAACACGGTTCTTGCGGGAACGCTACAGTCCCCATTCCTCCTAATCTAAAGAACTCATGCTTTGTCGCAGGTACTTCAAGTTGCGATACTTGATGTGTTCCGTAAAACAAGTCAAGCGTCTTGATTCAGGCATATGATGTTCAAGGTGCAAAACATCACCTTCCCTGTGAAAGGAGGCTAACCACGATTAATAAGTATTTTGTTACAGGAAATTTATGCATATTTCTACTTCTAGGCAGATTAGCTGAACAAAACTCACAATCGGGATGCAGTACACTTTCAAGAACTAGTTTCGGTAATGGGTCTCTCCGGTCTTTTCGGGTTATCTCGTTTTCAGTAGCCTTTGGTGATTCTTGTGTTGCGTAATTAATGCACACCTATTAGATCCTTATAGGAATTTTTGGATTAGCCACAACGAGAGAAAATCAAAAACAATTTTTCGATTGACGACTTGGAAGGCCTTTTCCAATTCAATTAACAAGGGAACATAAAGGAAAAACTCGTGGTTAATCCAAACATTCCTATAAGGACATAATACTACGAGCACGACGCACAATTTTCTTCAAAGACATCCGTTCCGAATTTGGATCGGATACCGTGGTAATGCACACGTACTTGAAATTATTGAAATCCTCTCCGAGCGGATTCCAGACGATGATGATGTTACGGTGTTCTCCTGTCGCCTTTTTGGTGTATTTTACATATCTAACTTGAAGCATGTTCTCTCGCTAGTTATGAAGGGACACGCCCCATCCTAATTAGGCAAACGTTTTCGATTTACTGAAAGCACCGACAGTCAGTTCCATCATGACAACATCGCATCACCTTTCTGTCCCCCCCCCCTTGGTCTATTCAGTTTGTCCTGGTTCTGGTTTTCTGTGTCTAAACGTGTTTTGATTTCATATGAAACATGTGAACGAATGACAGTGTACACATACACGGAAGCCGACTGCTACTAACGCAAAACAAAAATATAGAAAGGCGAATGAAAAACAGTCTTTGAGGTGAAAGGTCTAAACAATATAGATAATTTCACTTTATCGGTTTACTCGGCTTCTACGCATTCGTTTAAACAGGTGTATATCTCACAAGATACCGTGCACTAAATTAGACAAAACTTTATGTAGACTTTTATTTCAGGTTTTAATTTTCTCTCGCGGTCGCAATGATTCAAGGATGACCAATAAATGCAGCAGTGTTCAATACATTATCTAGTCCTCATACCTCCTCCATTGCACCGGAAGATATTTTCCTTATTGCTTATCGTCAAACTCGTCATAGAAAGATGCAATAACGATAGCGGCGGTCTATCGCATGAATTACTATGAAAAACAGACCAATAAAGGACCAGATCTCATTTGATCTCTCTGACCTTATTCGGCTGCCATCTGTCTTTCGAAAAAAATGATTTGTATATTTTGCGTGCATCCAATGTGTGAAACAAGCACTGATCGGTTGTGTATCTCATTTCACAGAGAATTATCCATTATCAAGTGTTTACAACTCTGTTTCATCACACTCGGTTATATAGATGGCGGTTCAGTGTCGATATGTTCCTTGATTGCAAAGTACTCCCTTCTGTTGACAGTAGTTGATTTGTTTCGCGTATCCTGAATACACTACTTAACTTGGTATGCACTTCTCTCACTTACAGACTTGTTTCCGGCTACCTCGTTCATCATGGTTACGTGTCTACTGCCCAAGCGTTTTCACGTTGGAATTCCGTACCCAACTCTCCAAATCATTTATCTCATCTGACAAGACACAAAGAGAATCGTTCCCCCTTGACGATTCATAGACGTCCCTCAAATCCTATCCCTTCCCGATCGTCCAATTCATGCGCATCAGCATCCTGTATAGAATCACCCGGCACGGAACCATCCACAGGTGGTGACAGTCCCGCTGGCACCCCAAGCCTCGTGCGACGTCACAGTGACAGTGCTTGTTTGACTCTGCCGTCTCAGTCTAACAATATGCTTCCCCTACCCGGACTAGCGAGCATGTTACATCGACGCCGTCTGCGTGCATTGTGTCGTCGTTGTCAGTACGGCCGAGCGGCAGCCACTTTAAATCGTCTCTATCCGCAGGTTTTGGAACGATGTCCGGAATTGTTGGTCCAATTACGCTGTCGTCAGCTGATTGAAATGGTGAGGAATTCTCGATAGTCTTTGGATTATGTGTCCAACAAGTGAATCAAATGCTATCGCGTTATTCACCGTTGTTCACACGTCATTATGTGAACCTTTTCAATTCCATTAGGGCTATTTCGCTCTATTCGTTTGATTCCGCTTAGTGGTCAAGGCTTTCTAATGATTGTACTAAACCAAGAATTGGACTCATCCATTACATTTTTGGTAGTTAAACTAGCGGTCCACATCGCTTATCTCAAACGTATTAAGCAATTCCCCGGACCGGCATCGAAGTAGCTTTACTTGTAGGGTAAGTGGGTGGGAGCCTGTCCTCTAGATCATCTGTAGTTTCACTAGTGCCACTGTATGCCGAACTGTGCCAGGTTGACTCTAGTTAAATCTAATGGCTGGGTTATGCGCTAGCAGAGGGCACCACATATTGCGTTATATCTTAGTGTGTGGATTTCTTTGTCGGTTTAACCTGATAGTTTACAGCGTACTAAGTAGGCCTTTCGGCACCGGCTACGGCTACGGCGTTTCGTCTTAGACGAAATACTTGAGAACGCACTGAATGGTCTCCAAAATGCAGGTATTGAATGAACATCCGAAAAAATCTGTACGGCTTGGAGTACGTTGACGACATGGTCTGTTTGTTCGAATTAACGGATTACGCGCAAAACGCACATGATAGACTAACAAATGCTGTTTCCACATTCGGTATGTGCTTTCCACCTTCAAAGTGCAAAGTGATGCTGCAAGACTGGGTGTCGCGTACTCCCGTTCTAGAACTAAATGATCAATAACTAGTTGTGGTGGATTGCTTTTCCTACTTATGTAGTTGCCTGACCAGTGACATTAACGCATCAAAGGAGATAACCGCCCGCATTTCCAGGGCTCGAGGAGCGTACGCAGTACTTAAACACCTGTGACGGCGGTGACGTTTCATTGAAGTTGAAAAGTCGCGTATGCTGCACTACTGTACGATCAGTTCTTTACGGTTGTGAGACCTTGAACTTGCGAGTAGAAAATATCCGTCGAATAGAATTTCTCGATTATCGGTGTTTATGTAATTCAACCCGGGTGAGATGGAGCGACCAGGCTTGTAATCTGGAGGTAAGCCATCGTGTGTATGAGAATTCATCAGAGATGAATCCGCTATCTCTCCGAATTCAGATTAATGGGCTTCGCTGGCTAGGGCACGTATTTCGTA